GGGCGCTGCCGCCGAGTATCTTTCAACACCAAGACCCATAATCGGTTGGCATCATCTCTTGCTTCTTCATTTGAAAACAGAATGTAATACAATGTGAAATCGAGCATGAGCTCATGCATCCAAGCTAGTGGCAAATGGCCCCAGAAATGGCGGCCCATTTCCGGAGGGCCGTTCATGTGCACTTGATCGTAGATGTACAATTCTCTCGAACCGGCGTCCTTCCAGTCATGAATAGATACCAACAGCGCATCGTTCAAATCAACTGAATTTGTTTGAAACGAAGTATATTGCAATCTCCCCGCAGCTGCAAAGCAATCGGCTGCCAGGCGCGACATGCTGTTAGTACAGACTACAGAAGTATTACTTGAAAGCGTCAGGTTTCGATATTTCCACTACAGCTTCACCTACAAACGTCACATCTCTTGAGCGAAACGCATCTTGTCCATTCGTTCACATCTGAGCCAAGGAATGTACAACGCACAATCCAATGCGAAGCATCTGCTCTTTCAGTTCGAAACTGAAAAAACGACTCCTGAGTTTGACATACCAAATAAGCTCGGTACCATGATGCCGTGGATGACCTCAGTTGCAAACAAAGGTGCGCAAACGTAGTTGCAATGGAAATGCTTAAAAATTGCAAAAGTGCACAAACAAAGGCTCAGTATTATGGTATCCAAAAAACAACAAGTGAACGCAGTGAATGATTCCACAATAACAAGTTCGATATCATGATGGCATGGATGACACCTGTTTCACTGCATTTCTCCGATGTCCCTACAGGATCGAACAATCTTTACAGACAAACAACACCTGGCTACTGATTTAGCACGTTTGCCACGAACAGTTTCTCCAGGCGAACAGTGGTGCAAATTCATTTGTGAACGCAGTGAATGATTCCACAAAAACAAGTTCGATATCATGATGGCATGGATGACACCTGTTTCACTGCATTTCTCCGATGTCTCTACAGGATCGAACAATCTTTACAGACTAACAACACTTGGCTACTGATTTAGCACGTTCGCCACGAACAGTCTCTCCAGGCGAACAGTGGTGCAAATTAATTTGTGCCCGCCGCACTCAGTTCCATGTGCCACTTGGCCCGCAAACCTTCCAGCTGCCACAAAGCCTCCAAGACATAGGGGCGATTGTGCCAAGGGCGCAAGGCAGGTCTTTTCTTAAGCAGCAACTGGACGGCATCCTCTGCAGAGTAGTTGTAACCCACGACGAGCCAAGCACATAAAGCCCCAGCGCTTCGATTGATGCCTCCAAAGCAATGGAAGAGCACGTGCATGGATTCGCCCCTGGTCACTGCCAGCATGGACTGTTTCCAGAGTTGGCCACAATGCATCTTGTCTCTACGTCCACGTCTGAGCCCAGGAAAGAGGTAAAGAGGTAAACTATGCTTGTCGCTGCAGAGTTGCACAATCCACTGCAAAGCATTTGCTCTCTGACTTCCAAACTGAGAACACCACTCATGAGTTTGACATGACAAAGAACCACTGTCGCAGAGACCTGCAAACTGAAGGCTAAACGCATCAACAAAAAACTAGTTTAACAAAGCTCGGCAACACCATCTGGAATCATCTCGCAATGCCTTGTTTCATCTTGCATCATCCTGGACTTCCAAACTGAGAACACAATTCGTGAGTTTGACACTTGGGATGGGCATCATTGTCGAACACCATGATGCTGTAAATTACATGCATCACACCGTTCTCAAAGGAAACATCCACAAAGGTACAACGAACCCAACAACTTGGTAACTTCTACAACTTCATGCACTAACCTGCTACACACTCGCACAATTCAATGCAAAGAATGTGTTCTTCGAAGCCTGAGACCACGACTCCTGCGTTTGACAAGCAAACATCATTGTCGCATAGACATGCAAACTGAACAGTGAAGCTCACTATGAACATATCAATTCCCACACAGATTACCACACCAAACGAACCAAGCTCCGCACGTCCTAGCACGGATACACTAGCAAGCATTGTCACCCTCAATCTCTAACAGTTCCATGTCGTGCGGTCAAAGTACACACAAAATCTTTTACACACAAACGCTTTTACACATGGTGCTTTTACACAAACACACTTTGACACACAGACGCTTTGACACACAAAAGCCTTTACACACAAACGCTTTTACACACAGACGCTTTTACACACAGACGCTTTTACACACAAAAGCTTTTACACACAGACGGTTTTACACACAGACGCTTCTACACGCAGATGCGTTTTACACACGCACACACGCTTTCACACACAAACGCTTTTACACACAGACGCGTTGACACACAAACGCTTTTACACACAGACGCTTTTACACACAGACACTTGTACAGAAACGAAAGCGTCCATCGCAATTTTTCCTCAGTTTTTAACGTCCAACGTCCATTTCGTGCGAAAGGGTTACGATTGACCAAGTAAAATCGCAATTTTTCCTCAGTTTTTGACGTCCAACGTCCCTTTCGTGCGAAAGGGTTACGATTGACCAAGTAAAATCGTAATTTTTCCTCAGTTTTTGACGTCCAACGTCCATTTCGTGCGTAAGGGTTGCGATTGAATCAGTAAAGTCGCAATTTTTCCTCAGTTTTTGACGTCCAACGTCCATTCGTGTGTAAGGGTTGCGATTTTCAACTCAAAGTCGCAATTTTTCCTCAGTTTTTGACGTCCAACGTCCATTTCGTGCGTAAGGGTTGCGCGGGACACCTCAAAGTCGCAATTTTTCCTCAGTTTTTGACGTCCAACGTCCATTTCGTGCGAAAGGGTTGCGCGCGACGCTTCAAAGTCGCAACTTTTCCTCAGTTTTTGACGTCCAACGTCCATTTCGTGCGAAAGGGTTGCGCGCGACGCTTCAAAGTCGCAATTTTTCCTCAGTTTTTGACGTCCAACGTCCATTTCGTGCGAAAGGGTTGCGCGCGACGCTTCAAAGTCACAATTTTTCCTCAGTTTTTGACGTCCAACGTCCATTTCGTGCGTAAGGGTTGCCGGGGACGCTTCAAAATCGCAATTTTACCTAGGTTTTGGACGTCCAACGTCCATTTCGTGCGAAAGGGTTGCGTTTCGTGGCGCTCCGGCGGCACGGCCCCCGCCTTAAGAGAGAATAGAAGAAGAGCGAGAGGAGATCTGCAGATGTGAAGGTGTGAAGATCTAGATCTGCAGGTGTGAAGGTGTGAAGATCTAGAATCTGCAGGTGTGAAGGTGTGAAGATGTAGATCAGCAGATGTGAGGGTGTGAAGATCTAGATCTGCAGATGTGAGGGTGTGAAGATCTAGATCTGCAGATGTGAGGGTGTGAAGATGTAGATCTGCAGGTGTGAAGGTGTGAAGATCTAGATCTGCAGGTGTGAAGGTGTGAAGATGTAGTATAACGGCTGCTTTTTTACGAAGAACCCTTCGCAGGCGCTCTCGGGAAAAATTTGAACCTACAGCGGCATGAAGATTTCGATGGAGCAGCGAATGAGCAGAGCAGCATACGGAAAAAAAAACTAGATGTCCCTGTGCGTTATCCGCGTCGAATGGACTCATCAGGCTTTGGAATATTCTAATTGCTTTGGTTCAACTGTGGATTATGCTAACTTCTAGCCGGTTATTATGTCAACAGAACGTGGTGATTGCAAACACATAAAATTCTGTCAGATATCATAATATCTAACAAAAGTGCTGTCCGTAACAATCCGCTTTGAAAAAAACCTTCAGTTTAGAAACTGCGGTTCCAAAACTACAGCCCTGTACCACATGTGAGATTATGAACAGCATGTCGCTGAGCAAACGCAGCATTGTAGGCGGCAAATGCCCGTCCTTTGCAGGAAATGTGTGTCCTTCAGGCAAAGTTGTGTTCCTTGTGTAAAATAATGTGCCCTACCTTCAAGTACCAAACTATAGTAGCATCATGATTCTCGAAAAATATTCGAAATAGTGCGTTCCTCAGGCGTGTTTTTCGGCTGCAGACCTGACAAAAACATGGTTCATTTCAAAAGTGCGGCGTTCCTTTCCACGATTGCAGCCCATGCCAAAATGGACATGTTTACAGGAAAGCGCGATATACGTGCAAGCAGACCAGCACGTTCAAAGGGGCGTCTATTGGCGTCTTGAAAATTGAGATTCTTAAGGGGTGCGTATTAGACACCCCTTAGCGTTCATGGAGATGGCAAACCAGGAATACATGACTTTCAATCCCAAACCCAAGGAATATTTTTGACAATGGTCCCGCAGGAAAGCACGGCTACACCGAAAACATTTGTCCTTTGTTTCCTTCGGAAATGTTTTTTCTGAATCGAATGTCGAAATTTCGTGTATTGATAAGGCCCTGAGTTTTTTCCCATGTTTCCGAAAGTAAGGTGTGAGACGCTATTGTATGCAGGATGTCTTAAGGTCGAATTTTGGCAGGTTTTCAAAACACAACACGCGTGTCAACACCTAAGTTGACGGCGTCAAATCCACATTGGAGGAAAAGAGTTTGGCGAAGTCAAAAACAAGCACCATCACTTGCAATTTCGCTTGCTTCATTGTAGGCAGGGAAAACCAGCTGCCATCGGCATATGGAAAACTTGCATTCATCAGGCAGGAAAATTCCAGTCTGCCTGGAACATGTAAACATTGCATTCCATTGTATTGGCGGGAAAAATTTTCAGTCCGCCCATTGATATGTAAAACTGTATTTTGCAAACGTATGAAAACTCAGTGGGAAATAATCCAGTCCACTCGCATCCATTGAGTGGCAAATGTTCCAGTCCACTCAGCGCCACCCTTGCTGAACATCATCAAGCTCAGCATTCTCACGGTCCCTTCGTTCTCCACATTCCTTGCACATATTCATGGTGACAGGCCGGGCATGCATCAGAATGTGGCAGTCATCGAAGAGGTGGAATCGTGTGGCACCCTTCAATGCGTAAACCTCTTTCCGGAATTCCAGCTCATGGTTATAAAACTCCTTGGTGTGTTCGATGCTTGACTTTGCTTGGTCAAGCTGATCTTGCAGTTCGGAAATTTAGATCTCTGCTTCTTCCAGCTTCTCCTTGGTCTCGATGTGGGCGAGTTCGGAGAATTCCAGTTCCAGTTTGATCTTCTTGAGATCTGCGCGGAATCGTTCAGCATCTTGTTTGTTAGTTTCGCTTGAATCCTTCATCACCTGGGCATAGCTTTCCAGAGTTTCGAGTTCAGGCTTGTAGCTTCCAATGACTCGTTGCTTGTCTTCCTGTTCACAAGTGCAAGGCATAGTGCATGTGACTCATCTCCTCATAGGCGATCTCGCACTGAACATCTTGGTTGCGTCGTCTTGGGGCTCGACGCTTCGGCTCAGCACGGTTGAGGACATTGGGGTAGTCCATGTACATCCACATGCAAAAGCATCCAGTGAAAAAGGAAATGCACAGAGTCATCAAAAATCGCAGCATCTCGAAACTCATCGGCGGGAGAAGCGGTGACGGGCATGATCTGTGAAATGAAAGCCAAATGGGCCAAACCACCTATTTTGCTAGCAGCTTTTGAGAAGGCAAACTTGCGGGCATTTGCTTCCCGTTGCTGTTGGGCTTTCTTCTTTGCAGCAACGAAATCTTCATCTGCTTGCAGCTTGAACATGTGAGTTCGTAGAAGGCGGTCAGTAAGCAACTGACGGGCTTGGGGTTTTGTCATACCATCAGCATATTGTGCTTCACTTGACACCCATCGCAGCAAGGTTTGGCACTCTTGCATCTTTTCTTTCACAATCATCACTTCAATTTTGGTTCTTTTGTCACCAGAGAGTTTGGGAACTTCAGCACGAATTGAATCGTACAAGGCTTTGGCATCCACAACTAGAGCAGTTTTGCTGATCACCCATTCACCAGGAGATTGCAAGGTATAGTCAGCACTCAGGCAACCTTGAATCAAAGTGCGGGTGTATTCCAAACTGTCTATCGCAGCTGCGCATGCTTGGGACTCAGCGTGACAATGAGCTTCTGGAGACGCGGGGCAAACGAAAGCTTCGCCAGTCCAAAATGATGTAGTTGGTGGCTTGACCATCCAGGATTTCTTTTGGAGCTAGCATGAGAAGGTATCCGCCTTGGCTGTGGCCTTCGCGTCGGATTCCCCATGAGGCGTCGCTCATTGCAACCAAAACCATATCTGAGATTTGCCCAAGTGGGCGGAATTGGAGCTCAACGTCATTGTTCATCTTGGCAAACTTCAGAGATTTGTTTGCATCACGCAAGTCTTCGGTTGTTGCAGCATTGATTTTCACCGCTAAGGAGGGACGCTGTTGCACATTGCAGTGTCACGACGCTTTGGGTCAATGGTGATGGGCTTGATTTTGCTGAAGTATTCAGACTGTCCAAGCTGATAACCATAGGACGTTTTCACCAGTGAGCAACCGCAGAAGTCTAACTTCTCACGCTCGTTGATGTGTGTCCAGTGCTTGAAGTTGAACTTTTCACGCAACAACTGCTTGGCAGTCAAGTAGCATTCACTTTGAGGATTGCCACTGATCAGCATGCCGTCAACATGAAGTCCTACCAAGCAGCACAAACATCCTTCGGAGTCAAACAATCTGAAAAGACAGCCATCGAGCTTGTGCTGGGACAATCCTACCTCCTCCAGCCTTCTTTCTGCTACCTGGTACCAGGCTCTTGGAGCATCTGCCTGGCCATATATCGGTTTCAACAAGCGCATCAGGGAGTTTGGCTTGATGTCCAGCAGGTTGCATGCGTCTCGGGGAAGACGGCACCAAAGCTCACGGGATTGGTTGTCCTCTTGCAAAAAGGCTGCTGCCACGTCGGCACATAGGAATTCCCATCCTTTCAAAACACCAATGGACAGGAGCACTTCTCTGGAGGTTCTGTTCAAAGTTGGAGAGCTTGTTTCCAAACTACCAGACAGCAAATCGGGATCGGAGTATCCCTGCAGCACCAGACATGCTTTTGCTTTTGTGCCACCCTTTCCATCATCAGCCCACTTGAGAACAAAACGTGCTTTAAAAATTCTGCTTTCAGATGCCCTGTCGGGATCGACTTCAAGTTGCCATGGCCCATTTTCAAAAATAGATTGCAGCTCGGCCTTCTTTGCAGTCATGAAGGTGAGGCGGTCTTCAACGGTCATGCGGGATTCCTTCAAGTCAGCCTCGTTGTCCTTCTTCTTTTTCAAAGGGCGAGTTGCAGCCATCCAAACTTTAGAGGGTGAGTTGTCCATGAAGTTGGAGTTGGACTTATGAATATTCTTCTTGAGGTTGATGTATGGCATCTTGAGCTTCAAGGCAGCTTCCTTGTTGAGAGGGAACAAGCTCTTGCCAGAGAAGGCATCGTTGCAAATCTATCGCTCATCAGAGGCAACTGAATCTACCATCATAGTAGCAGCACCATCACGCATGGTGATCTTTGTAGGACTGCAGGTCACCCAACTTAATGGGGACTTTCTTGATGGCATCGGCGGTTGGTCTCCATGAAGTTTTGCAAGCTATCACATGGTTCCTGACCAAAAAGCCATCTTCGACAGACCAGAAGTCCTCTGTGGCAATTAGCATAAAGGTGTTGGAGACTTCGTCATAGGTCCATCCTTCTGGCAGCATATCTGCAGGAAACTTGTTGGGCTCGCCATTCACACTGTAGAAACCAACTTCAACGCTGTTTTGGATCTTTTTGCGTTTCTTTTCAGGGTCATCTTGTGTTCCTTCATGAGGCCTTCGTTGGCTCTGATAGTCTCTAAGCCAAGCCATTTTGCCTTGATCCATCCTTCGGCGTCGTTGCCGGAATCTGTCATCACCAGTGTCAGCAGGCACAGTGTTATCTGCTGCTGATGGACCACCAGCGCTGGCAGGCAAAGTATTAACTGCCGCGGGTGGAATTGCCCCAGGCAAAGTGTTGACTGCTTTGGAGGGATCATCATGTCCATCGGACTCATCATCAGTTGGCACTGGAGGAAGATCCGCATCTGCTGGCATATCGGCTGGAAGAGTTGCAGTGGTGTTTGCATTGGCATTGTCGTTGGTATTGGGCTCATCGTTTTCGCCAATCACTGTCTCCGCAGGAGTTGTTGGAGCATAGGAGAACGGAGAGTCAGGAGGCCTTTCAAGTTGATCGATTTGGCGATCCATCTGTTCGATTGCATCATGGAACTCATCAGCATCAGCTGGGCTGTCAAGAACTTCAACATCAGGCTCAGTTGCAGCATCGTTCGCAACTGGTTCAGGAGATTCTTGTTGAGCTGGACCATGGAGTTGTAGTTGATGAGGAGGATTGCCACGGCGATGTTTGCGGTCCAAGTCGAACTCAGCGTCGTCTTCGTCAAGTTCATCGATTGACCTTTTGTTGGTTTTGTGCAAGCCAATCATTCTGACGACTCTGCGCTGTCGGACTTGGCGCATGGCATCCACGGGAGAAGAAAGTCTCCCATCAGCATCAACCATTCGCTTCACATGATGTTTTCCAGCTCGAATCAGCACTGTTCCATGAGCAAGCCAGTATGTGTCAACATTGCCATGGTCGGGGTCAAGCTGAACTGCAACCACAACGGCAGGACCTTTCCACTTGATGGTGGGGAACTTGTCAGTTGGCTCACGCCATTAAAGGCAGCGTTCACCAGCAACCAAATCATCATCCTGACCACGATATTGACGCAACACAGCTTTCTCAACCTGACATCAACATCGGCTTTGGCACATGCTTGTTGAGCTCGAGATCGACACTGAAGGATCTCCTGGAGATGTTGGCCTTCAGAAAGCTGTGGAGGCTTCGTGCGCTCTTCGGAGGTCAACCCAGGGATTGTTGGTTGTCTTCCCATTGCAAGTTGTGTTGGTGTGAACCCGTTCAAAAATGTATGCTCATTCAAGGAAGGAATCACCCAAGTCAGAGCTTCGTGCACTGCATCCACGCCAGAGATCTCGTTGTCGTCCATGTAGATTTGGACTGCACGCCTCAGAAGCTGATGGCGTCGCTCAACAACGCTACTAGTTCGAGTGTGAACTTGGCCAGGAGAGATTTTGAGCTCTATGTCATGGTTTTCTGCCCATGTGGCACGTGCATCAGATCCCCAGCCAGCATATTCATCAACTTTCATTTGTTGCATTGGACCATGGAACCTACTCCATGATCTTTCCAGAGCTTTGATCAACGAAGGGGATTTCTCATCGGACACAATGCGGGCAGCCATGTATCGTGTGCATTCATCAACCATGGACACTATGACCACACACGCTTCTTCTGATTCAACTCAATCCACATGACATCAGCTTGAACAACTTGATTGAAATGTTCAGCACGATCAACTGAGGCAGGAGACACACCTTTCTTGATGCCGTAGTTTTGGCAATGAGGACAGTTCAAGGACTCAATGGCTTCCTTGACCTTCTCACTCACCTGCTTACCATCAAGCAACTTCAGCAAGACTTCTTTGCAGGGATGCCCAAGGTTTCGGTGAAGTCGACGGGCAATTCTGGCAGCATGGGCACCATGGTTTGTGGCAAGTTGGCGCAATGTGCCAGTCTCCACATCATCCACCGCATAGATTTGCTCAGTGAGATTCTCTTCATCCATGACCGCTTTGGCCAAGCGCTTTGCCAAATCAGCACCATAGTTTTCAGCTTCTCGGCATCGATGTCCACCACCAGGCATGGAACCTTCAAGTGGGCAGTGGGTGTGATCGCCTTGGCAACGGCGATGCATGAGCTTGAACATTGCCATCTTTGTGGTTTGAATCCGTGTGGACTTCTTGATTGGCTCTTCAAACCCATCATTGTTGATTGTTGTGGCACGATATTCGCACTGATCAAACACGGCAGCATAGCCAGGAAGAGAGGAGAATGCCTTGGTTCTCCAAGCGCGGCTTCGTTCCGGATGTTCAATGTGGGCATGACGTCCTGATCGCACTTGTTTCCAGTAGGCTTTGCGACACATGGACAAGTGGGTTCCATGGTCAATCTCACGGCGCTCTTCCAAATCAGCGGCATCTGCAGCGCATTTGATGTTGATGTTTTAATTGCATGGGGCTCCACAACGTACACTTTGGGGCGGTGAAAATCTCATCAGGTTCATCGGTGTCAATCCTTTGGAGAAATGCACGACGATGGGCACTTAGTGGAAACCAGCCCTCACTCAAACCAAAACGCTCAACTTGAGCACCAAGTTTTGCAGCTTCAGTCGAAAGGCGACCTTCAGCAACGTAAACTTCCCATACCAGAGGCCTTTTGGCTCGAGCACCATCACGTGCCATGTGAACCATTCCAGAAACTTGGTTTTGCACCTCGGCAGTTTGCTGTGTGCACATGTTTTCCAGTTTCAGCACCTCGCGGTCAGGCATCGGAACCGCTTCAGGGAAATCATCATCATCATCGGAGAGAAAAACTGTATCGCTCTTGTTGGGCTTGGTGTCATTGGGCCTGAGAAAACTTTGAACCACATCAGTCATTTGGGCATAGCGGCTTTCTGCATGCAAGTCTTTGAGAAAACTGGACATCGGCTCGACCTGGTCGTGGTCGTCTTCCTCGCTGATCAAATCAAATTGAACATCAGCAAGTTGGGAACCATTGGAATTTCCCTCAGCCAGTTTCAGAAGCACTGCACCGCCTTTGCCACGACGGATCTCTTGCCAATCACTTCACAGGAGGCGCATGCGCTTGCCGCCAAAGTCAACCACGGCATTGAGCATTTCCAGGATGGGACGACGTGGCACCAAAGATCACAAAACACTGAATGCGGCCAACTTTGTCACCAAGTTTTGCAGGCAGTTGGACCATCCATCGGCTGACGCTTCCCCCATCACCTCCAAACTTGGTACTTTTGTCACAACGCTTGAGCTGAAGGTGTTCAACATCCATCCCAATCAGCTCCAACCACTTAAGGTATCGCAGCACATATTCAGATCCAGCCAAAAAAGTTGATGCACCACCAGCATGAATGCAGGCATCAGGGCCGTTGGTCACCCAGCTGTTGGCGTCGGAAATCAGGTGCTGGGCCATCCCGACAAAGTTCTGCATACTATCGGAGGCATCTGCAGGACGCTTCTTGCCAGGAGAGTTGCCAAAGATTTTGGTGGGACAGTTGGCAGCCATGTGGCCAAACATACCGCATCGCAGGCACATCGTTGAGGACATATGTTCACCCCTTTCTCTGACACTTGACA